GGGGAGAGAGCTGCGGGTTCAGTTCAGTTAGATCGAGCTGTTTGTGTGTAGTTTTGTGTTCGTTAGTGAGTTAGGTCACACACTATACTGACTGTGCTCTCAGGTTTGTGTCCTCAACACAATATGAATGTTGAAAGATGTATGGATCTGATGCCCGAGAGAGACAACGTTGTTTTAGCAGTCAGGGCTTTTTGTATGAATTATTATGATCGATTAGGATGTTTTCAGTGGTCAAAAAATCAACGATCTTTCGTTTAGCTCAGTTGCTTCATGTAGAGTTTGTTAAATATCCAAAAATAGATACAAAATATTAAGAGCCCTTAAGAGACTTCTTTTAGTCACGAAATGTTCAGATATTTAATTTTAAAATAATGTGAAAAACTAGAAAATAATTAGAAATTCCAATAATGATATAACTTAAACCAGGGGATGTTCACCATGACTGCTGCTGAAAAGAGTTATTGATTATGAAAATAGTTTCTGATTCTCTGTAATTTGACCATTGATTGATTGTTACAGTTTTAGATCAACACATACTGAATGCGATGCTGATTCAGAATCAAGCTGTGAGAGTGTGAGACGACCCTCAGTGTGACTGCATGGTGTGATACACAGACAGGAGTCTATCTGACAGGTGTGTGTGTGTGTGTGTGTGTGTGTGTGTGTGTGTGTGTGTGTGTGTGTGTGTGTGTGTGTGTGTGTGAGACAGGGAGTGATAGGTTCAACAAACCCTTGTTTCTCCATCTGTCCTCTCTCATTCACTACATCCTTGACAATACACATCGCTCTTTCTCTCTCTCTGTGTGTTTCTCTGTCTCTGTCTCTCCCTGTTTCCTGTGCTTTGTTTCAAGGCTGAGGCTTGCGTCACACATTCCACTTGGCATATGAAGCCCTTATCCTGTTTAGAGCCTGGAGTGAGAGAGAAAGAGGGAGAAAGAAGGGAGGAGAGAGGGATGTGGATGTGGGGGGTGGACGAGTGGAATGAGGGCAATCTCTCTGACTGACTTTACACTCTTCTACTCTCTAGAAAGGTTTTTAAGAAGGAGAAAAAATAGAAAAAAGTCTTGACCTTTCTGTCTTTCTTTATTCATTTATTTTATTTTTTTTGTCTTATTAGGGCCGCACGCACACACCCCATACCCCACCCACCACTACACCTCTTTTCCTGAATAAACATGCTGATGTTATCTAGTGGAACAAAATGCGCAAGAGTGTACACACACACACACACGCACGCACTGCTCAAAGGGCATGTCCTAGAGAACATTAGGGCTAAACATTAAACCCCTGGATGCTGAAGCGTTGGTGATTCTCCATCAGAAGTTAAGGATATAAGGACACTGTGGTGCACAGACAGCCATAAACTTAAAAAGCTGTGAGTCGTTACACAACTTCACATATGTGCCAACACACGCACGCACGTGCACACACACTTGTGCAGTGTGTCTGTTCCTGCTCTTAAACCACTGGGTTGAGCCACTGTGACAGTGTAGCTCTTTCTTACCATCCCCCCCTCCCCATGTTTGAGGTTCATTGAAGTTTTGTCATATTTTGGTTGAAACCCACTTCATTTTCTCCCCCGTTTCTGTCTCTGCCTTGTTCTTTCCACTTCCATTTTTACATAGTTTGGTCAGAGTGGCTGTTTTCTTTGCGCTCTCTCTCCTTCCATTCCCCCCCTCTGTCCTCTCATTCTTCGGGTATGGGAGGTGCAGTGTGTTGAGGGGAGGTGTGGGTAGGGGGGGGTCAGACAGGAAACCGCAGGCCCCCTGCAGCAGCACCCCCCATTTGGCTTCACTCTCCTCCTTCTCCTCCTCCTCCTCCTCCTTCTCTTCTTTACACCCCCCGACCCATCACGCAGTGTGGAAATAATAACAGTCAGACTAAACTCTGAGGGCTTCCGCTTCTCTCCCTCTCTCTTTCTCTGGCACTCGCTCTCGTTCTCTCCTTCCCTCCGCTGTCTGGAAAGCCTCAACACTGCTGTCTTTGACAAGTTCGGCTTGAGGTGCATGTACATGAGTGTGTGTGTCTTTGTCAGGTTCTGAGTCTTGTGTCAACTCCAGTGTGTCTCTAAATGTGTGTATCCGCATGTGTGTGGATGCGTGTGTAATGATGGATTCTGTTTCCTCTCCCCCTGCTGATGGCCCCCTCTGGCTTCCCCCTGAGGTCTGCAGGCCTGCAGCCCCACAGTCTGCCGGAGAGGAGTGGAGAGGGGCTTTGTGCTTGTATATGTCTATATGTGCGTGTGTGCGTGTGTGGGATGGGAGGAGTGGGCTGAGGCAGCTCAAATGAGGGAATAGGATGCCAAAATAAGAAGATAGGGGGCTTCAGCAGGGGCCTTAAAGTGAGAGGAGTCAAAGTCAGAGCATGTGACGCATTGTTAAAGGAGTCATGAGTAGGAAGTGAGGTAAGGGGATGAAATAAGAGTAGGGAGGTACACTTGGGGGCTAGGGATTGAAATAAAGGGTCAGGGGCATGAGGGTTAGGGTTATGGTGCAATAAGAGACCACACTGGAAATGAGCTCAGAAAGGAACATTTAAATGCTGGAATATTAGCTTGCCACCTTGATGAGTCATGTAATTGGGATCTTAATTTAAGTAAAGATTAGTTCATTCCCTTAGGGGTTTAAATAGGTTAAGGTGTGAGTCAAGCTATAGAATGTTCATGAATTTCCCCTCCGTAAGCTACACAGTGTGTTAATGCTCGACAGCAGTTTGACTGGGACAGTTTGTGTGACAGTCGAGGTGAACCACAGCAGCATGAAGTGAGACTGATGAGCTAAAAGAGGTGATAAAGAAAGAAATGGTCAAACGTCAAGAGCACAGAACTGAAGGCTGTTAGTGTTGAATGTGTGTGTGTGTGTCTATTGCGGCGTGTTCTTGGACAAAGCTGTTGTCTGGAGGTTTCTGGTCTCTCTGGTGATCTCATCTTCTCCAGCCTGTTGCCATTAGTGTGTGTGTGTGTGTGTGTGTGTGTGTGTGTGTGTGTGTGTGTGCGAGTGCATAAGGAGCCCTGTTTGTGTCTGCGTGTATTTAAGCATGCGTGCGTGTCTGTAATAATTCAGTCCTTTAGTGATTTAGTGTGTGTATTCTGTTGAGCTAGCAGAAACTTGGTGTGCGGCTGTGAGTGTGTATAAGTACGCGTGCGTGTGTGTGTGTGTGTCTGTGTGTGGTTGAGTTGGTAGCCAGCGACTCCAAGCCACAATATTTTCCCCTTCAGTCATGTTGTTTTATATCAATCATAGAGCGGGAGAGAAAAGGAGTGCGGGGTGGTGTGTGGTTCAGATAAACACGGTAGTAAAGACGTGAGTGATTGTTGAGGAGCGAGTGAAGAGGAGGTGTAGAAGAAGATTTGCAGAGTCCAAGGGTGGAGAGAGAGAGAGAGGGGTGCAGGAAGTGTTTGCTGAGTGGGTTGGGGTAGAGTACACAGTAGCTCTACTGACCTAGAAGGACAATATTTGCAGACCACACTTGACATGCACAAACACACACCCACATGTAGCGCACAGGGAGAAAATACTCCCCGACAACCAAGGTATGGCTACTTATTTACCAAATAGGCGCAGTGCTCACTGGATCCTTCACTCCACAGTTTATATGCCCTAGGAGTTCTCAGCCGTAAACCTTTATATGCTCTGATGAGGAAGAGGCATAACAGCTGCCTCATCTCTATCTCGCAGAGAGAGGTTGTGGTCGTCGTGGAGTAACACACTTTCGTTACGATATTCATTTTGTCAGAGGATCAGTGCAACTAAGAAGTACTTTTAGAGGACAATTCTTGGACTGTCGCAGTTGCCCCATAAGATTACATTGTAGCCACTGCTGCTGTGTTGCAGACCCGACTATCATTCACTTACAAACCCACCTGGGAACCGGGGATATAATTTGAAATGATTTTCCGTGGAGCAGCAAATCAATGAATGTACTTATAACTGCAGCTCTATTTGAACCTGCATCACAGATTCAGAGAGAAATAAACAAGCTCCAGCTGCAGATCGACTCTAATCTACTGAGACTTTATGTTCTGTTGAGTTGCCCTGAAGAAGATGTGCAGCTAAATTAAATTTTATTTCCTGCAATTGTCCACATTTTCTCTGACTCATTGTATTTATTCTTTTATGATCCACCCCGAGGGAAAGTTTGGCTTTTTTCACAAGGATACCCCCCCACTCACCTTCCTGTTGTCACATGTTGCCTGATAACTCTCCTCTGTTCATTGACCTGCGTGGTACCAACCATCAGGAAAACAATCAGCACTCATTATTTGCCGTTGCTTCTGGGAGACATTTCACCCACTTCTTCTCTAAAACTGCATAAATCAATCTCACCCTCTCGTTACCAGGCCAGTTATGTGAAATACTTCATGGCTTCGTGAAGTCTGACAGGAATGGTATGTTCCCATTACTGCGTTTGCTCTTTCGAGGTTTTAAATGTATGCAGTGCTGCTGGGGGTTTTCTTTTGAGAAATGAACTCCGATAACTTGTGTTCCTAAAGTTAATCATGGTATTTTTGTCCTGTGTACATGCTGATGAAGGTACGCATGAATCGTGTGAGCACAGGTACGCACATTGTAAATCTTCTTTGAGCTGAGCCCAGCCCTGCAGTGACGAGATAATTTGCATTTATTATATGTCACTCATGCATTAGTCTGAATCACTATGTCAACACCGTGGGTATAAACCTGTTTTAAAAACCCCCTTCCAAATGGGAAACAAGGCCTTAATGTAGCAAACTGCACCCTGAAAAGGGTGAGATTTCATTATGCAAATATACATTTGTCTTTTTACTGGTTTTCATTGTGGGGAATTAGTGATTTTGATATTAGTCTCTTCTTCATCTTGTTTGAAGAAATACATCAAGCCAGAGGATATTTTCTACTACAGTTGAAGTACAGCGCTGTGGAGGCCGTGAGTCTGTGTTGGATTAGACTTTTTGTTGTTGTTTTTAGATTTGTTGTTCTACACATATGGTAATCTGTGCTGTCTATAGGAAAGGAAATTAAAGAGTTGAATTCGCCACCTACAATCAAAGAAAAGTATTGCCAGTCAGTGGCAAAGGTTTCACAAATCAAGAAGCCATTACTTTACTTGCCTGTTTATCAGCTTGTCTGCATTAACAGGTTGCGACTAAGTTTTTGGCGGTGGCTGAAAGTGCTGAATTTTGAATCATTTACACCATTAGGTAATTAATTACACACAGTTGTGGTTATTGATTGCAGCATTTTTTTTATATATCGTCCACAAACATGTAATAAATGATCTATAACACACTTTAAGGCCATTTTAATTGGCAGAGCCCATCAACAATCATAACTTCTCGTTTGGTATTTTATATAATTACAACTAGGTTTTACTGTCATTCATTATCTGTTCATACACCAGCCTTAACTTAAAGGTGTTAAATAGAGGAGTTACTAATACATTATTAAACACTTCAATCTGCTTCCAGTTATATTAAACTTTTTAATAATCTAATATAAACACATGATGGAGGGAAGGACTGGGAATTTCCACAGTGGCCACAGTTTTTGTCTGACCTTTTTGCCACTGTAGGGAAAATACCTGTTCACTGTGCTTACCGTGAACAAACTGATAGGGAGTTTTTTTCTTTTCCTGTTTCATGATCTGTTTGTGCCTCATAACTGTTCCTATTGTCACTTCTGGGTGAGGAACGTAACCACAATAAAACAAACGCTTGACCTCCAACTGAACTTCAGTACAATACAAACCCGGATTAGAAATAACACACCCTCAAAGTTATCCACACATGGACACACACGCACACACACACACAGTCCCCACCTGCCTGCAGTCTCTTTGTTTCTTTGGAGCCGGGTGAAGGGTGAGGCTTTAGTCGTCATGTTCACACCCTTCCTGACCCAGCAAGCAAGCATCCTGCTCTCCGATTGGTTTGCTCCCCATCTGGACTCCGTGTGTGTGTGTGTGTGTGCATGTGTGCTTGCTTGCGCTAGGGTGTGACGGCCCCTGTCCTTGCCATTTGTTAATAATTAAAGGCTAACCTGTCTCCAGACTGTGGACTTTAATCAGGTCACACAAACATACACACACACACTCACACACAGACCCCCTCAGGGTACATTCTTTGACAGCTCATGTTGCCTGAATGCTCGAGTGATCTCTCACACACACACATAAACACACTCATTTAGGCACAAACATGGAGTCATCATGGCTGCACCTGGTTATTCACAGGCAACGTAACTAGAACCACCTTTGAAATCTCACACACTTTTGATCCAAACACTTGACAGGCCTCAGTAGGTGGCGTGGGTGTCTGTAAAGCCTTCGACATGAGGCGGTTTCTATATATCATCACACCTGGTACTAGTTGTGTTCTCGTAAGACGACCCGTCGTAAAGTTGTCTTTAGCATTGTCTGAAAATATCTAGCATTTTCAGACAACACAACCACTGTTTAGTGTTGTTTGTGCAACTCAACAAAATAAATCTGACTGACAAGTTTTGTCTCTGAAAATGACAAAAAGATTGGCAGTGTGAGGAGGAAGAGCTCTCTTTGTGAAAGTAGAGAGGAGGAGCTGACGTGTCAAATCTGACATAAAGAAAATATATTTTATGGCTACTGTCTGACTTGAGTTGCTGTAAGGCTGAGTGTTAGTTTTTATCAACTCACAAGTGTGTGTGTATATGTGTGTTTGTGCAAACAGTTATTTCTTATTAAGTATAATTTTGAGGTACTTGAACTCAATTTGGCTATTTCCCTTTTATGCTACTTGATACTTCTTGCGAACTGCATGCCAGAGAAAATAGCCAAATATTTTACCTTTGTCGCATGTGATAAGATTACAGCACATTTATATGTTAACAGTGGTCAGCAACCCTCACAAAAACAGCAGTGTGTGCTTGGACATTTCACCCAACATAAACATTTTCAGATCACTTCTTTTTAACTACTTTTTCAATCCTAAAGACACAACACTCCATTATTTCACAAAAAACTATCACATCACAACCCTCCATGTTATCTAGTGACCCTCACAATTCTGTCTTCTTACCTCTGGTCATGGACCATTACTGAAGAGGAAAGTAAATGAACAAAGTTTAAAATGTTGTTTACTCTGTGAGTCTGTTTTACCAGTGTGTATTTATCTGTGTGTGTGGTTGTTTTATTTTGTAGGAGCCTGGCCTGCGCAGCCATGCTGATGTATGATTACCCTCTGAAGACAGACATGGAGACGGTAAGACACGTTTGTGTTTGTGTAAATGCAGCTTTGGATGTTTGTGTGTGTGTTTTGTGTGCCGATCATGCCTGAGCATGTTTTTGATGCCATACAGTATCATTGACCTACACACACACACACACACAGACACACACATTCTCTTGCTACGTGTCTAGACAGAGTGGTTCCCACATTCCGACTCTTCCTGGACAAACAGGCTGCTGTATAGTGGACATTTGCATACAATGGGTACACACACTGCCAGGCAGCAAGCTAATGAACACACACACACACACGCACACACACACACTGTACTGTGAGGCGTAACAGTTATCTGCTCCCACACAGAACTGGGTTTAAAGTTTTTTGGCCGGCTGTAGTTGTTTGTGAGGCAGAAACATGTTTTCCCTGTTATGAACACAGAACCGGAAATTTTTAACTCTCCGCTCTTTTGTCCTCCTCCACTGCTTCCTTCTTCTGTATCCTCTCTTTCTCTCTCGCTCACAGTCATTCTACTCTTCGCTTGTGAAAGCCCCAGAGCCGTACAGAGTGATCTTCCCCCACCCGGCCCCCCTGTACCACACGCACATGCACGCCTTCGCCCAGTCCCACTCCCCCAGCAACCCCACACACACCCAGCTGGAGCCAGTTGACCTGTCACTCAGCAAGCGCTCTTCCTCCAGCTCATCCTCCTCCTCTCCTCCCTGCTCCTCCGCCTCCTCCCCGGCCTCCTCGCGCAGCTCTCCGCCTTCGCCCCACAGCACGGCGAGCCGCGCCTCCCCTCGCTGCTCCCCTCCGCACTCCCAGCTGCGCTCCTCACCCTCCCACGCCCTCCCGCCGCCCACTCCCTCGCTTTCTTACCCCACCATGGTGGCTCCTCTGATCAGCTCGGGCTCTGGGGTCATTCAGGGGTCAGGGGTCATGGTGTCTCCGGTCATGGTGCCTCTGTCAGTCCTGTACTCATCGCCCCTCCACCTGCACCAGCCCATAATGGTGAGTCCATCCATCACCTGTGACGACGACCATCATCGCAGCAGGGAGCACAAGACAGGTGAGATTCATTCTTTTACTCAGTTCAGTTTCCAGCTAGATTGAGTTGATTAAAATTAAAAGAATTAATAATTAGTCATTAAAAAACATGGAATTAAAAACAGGAAATAAATTCACAACTATATGACATCAACATACGAGGAAAGTGCTGACTCAACTTTACTCCAAATAAAAGGTTCCCATTTAATGTCGAACTTTCTTCTTAACTGTTGACAGATCTTTTACTGACAATGAGGAAGTGCTTCTCATTTCCTCTGTTCTTAGAATAACACTTTGAGCAGATTCTTGTTTCCTGAGGGAGCCATGTTTTTTTTGTTTTCTGTTGTTTTTTTGTCAGCTGGAGGTCAGTGATGGACATAGGTCACCATCTTTCACTCTCCAGTCTGTGATAGGGACAGATATGAGTGGACAATGATTAAATTCAGACATTTTCAGATACATTTTATTATAGTGTTTGCTTCTGATCCCTATCTGGAAAAACACTTAATTCCTAATTAGATCAAATGAAAAAAATCTATGTAACTATGGAGGATTAAGAGTCTACAACAGCACTAGCAGCGTGCCTTGAGTCAAAAGTTGAATGCTAAGAACATAACCTAAGGTTTTGGCCAAATCAAATGTCCAATTCTATCAATTTCCATTACAATCCATCCAATAGTTGTTGAGATATTTTATTCTGGACCGAAGTTATGGAGCGACCAACATTGCAGTCCTTACCACCACACCAAGAGCGTGGCTGATGCAAAGATATTTTACCTTGAAAAGCAAAGCACAAAGCCCACCAACCTCCACAGAGGCCCAACAGTCCTCTTAAATTCAGTTAAGCTGAACTCATTATTATCAGTTCCCCAAATTCACCAGAATTTTTTTCATATATACTGTATATATGTATATATATATATGAAAAATGCTCTTTCTCATATTGTTAAAAGTGATAAACAATTCCTGGTTCCACTCCAAAATTTGACCAGTTCTTCCTTCAGCCAAACAACATTCTTCCACCAAGTTTCATGGAAATTCATCTTTTAGTTTTTGCTTACAATCAAACAAACAACATAATTTCAAGTGTAAGATACTAATATCATATTAATGAGAATAAATCTGGACCATATTGACCAGTTCACATCTCCTGATCTTTTTACTTCTACCCAGTTCATTCTACCAAGCCCCTGGAGCTACGAGGCGACACCCACGACCTGCACAAGCCAATCAAAACAGAGCCTTGCCCTGAGCTCATCCATGACCTCCACAACAGCCACGACATGAAATCATCAGTCAACAGGATACAAGAATATGAGTAAGTGGTACATCAGCACGCCTGCACAGATTTTGAAAGAAGCATCAGCGCTTCCTCTTTAAATTTACATGGAAGCATTAGTCAGATCAGATCCATGGTATCGTTTGAAATACTTTGATGGCAGGATTTAGGTCCTGATACCAAAACTTCCCTTTTTTGATACCACAGGGGAATGGTCCTCAAACATGTTCACTTTCATGAACCTATTTAGTGAAGGATCAATAACCAATAATGGCTGATTGCAGGGATTTATTCAGAGAGCAAAACAACATGTACATCAGAGTTTAGCTTGTTCTCTTTGCTGCTTAGTGACTTATGTCTGAAACTTGTTTGGGCAAAGTTTAACTTTTCCTGGAGCAGAAATGTGCCAATTGTTTTCCCAACATTCTTTAAAAAAAAGTTTACATGGGATACAACAAGTTTCCCAAATGTAGCACTCAATCATTTTGTCTCATTTTTCTTGAGTTTTGAATCAATTAAAAGTTGTAAAAACTTAAGAGACAACAGAGTCACTACTCAAAAGTTCATGTGTCATGACAGTGTTGTTTCTTTAACATAATTCCTACTTCTACAGTTCAAATCTAATCAGGGATCTTTGTTACATGAGATACTTCAGCTCACCACAAACTTTTCAAAGGCTTAAATTTGTGTTTTAGAGGCACATACATTGTTTTTTAGACAAATTATCGATATAGGTGGAAAATAACTTCTCTCACTCACATTAGACTTTCAGAATCAGTTACCTGTTGAATTTCACTTCTTAAGAAACTTAAAAGTTTTTATCATGTCACCTCATATATAGAGTTTCAGCTGGTCTCTGTCCTTTATCTGTCATCAGCTCATTCGAACATTACATAAACTCTGCATGTCCACTGAATGTCCATTTCAACTGATTCAGACTTTTGTGGCCATACCCAATGTGTGTGTGTGTGTGTGTGTGTGTGTGTGTGCGTGTGTATGTTCGTGTGTGTGTGTTCTCTCCAGTCAAACATTAGAAACAAACTCTGGGAAATGTGCAGAGGTGGCAGTTATGATACAGTCTCTCCACGCTCTGTTGCTTATGTTTCTCGCAGTGGGAATGTGGGCGAGCAGATGTTCAAAAGATGCTCAGAGATACGTTTTTGTAGTTTTCAGAGATAACACAGAACCAGTGACACTTTTTAAACGGTCTCTGTACAGCATGGAGGGGTGTGTTGGATTCCTCTGTGGCGTCTTTTATTCTCTCACTTCCAGTCTCGTCTGCACCTCTCACTGCGGCTCTTCACCACGTCGCCCGATCGCCCCCATACGAGTTCATATCAGCCATCTCCTTCTGTCACCTCCCACATTCCTCTTCCCATTTCTCCTTTCTCTCTCCTCTTTCCTTCCCTCAGTGCTTTCTCAATTTTCTTTTTTTTAGCTCATTGTCCGGCATCTCCCACTCCTTCTTTCCCTCCCCTCCACTTCCTGTTCCTCTTCTCCTTCCTCCTCCTGTTTCATCTTCTGTAAAGTACCAGCCTTTCAGTAGTTGTTAGTGTGGTTGCTATCCCAGTTGTCACCAGGCCAATAACTTGACCCTTAAGAAAAAATGAGTGTCTGTCGTCAACTCACAAAAAAATACACACAATCGCGCACACACACACACACACACACACACACACTAACAATGTACACATTAACAATACCAATTTGATGAATGTAATGCTTATGGTAAATAGGTCAAGTTTGTTCACCATGTGTCATAGTGATAGGTCAGCCTTTGTGTGTGTGTTTCTCTCCGTATGTGTATGTGTTTGTGTGTGTGTGTGTGTGTGTGTGTGCGCCTTTTCTTTCTCGCGGGGGATTTTCAGCACATTCCTCTATGCAGAACTGATCTGTGATGGATTTATATTTCAACACTCGACACCTGCTCTCAACTGCCACTTACACACACCCACATGCACATTAACACGCGCACACACACACACACACACACACACACACACACACACACACAAACACACACACACACACACACACTTTAAAGATGACTCTGTAAGTACAGAGAGACAACTCCTTGTTTTCTTCCTTCGAAAATGTTGCTTTTCACCTCTTGTGAAGTTTGTTGCTTAACAAACTTAAATGTAATAATTTTGTACAAAATCGTTTTTTCCCCTACACAAACACACACACACACACACACACACCTGCACAGAGAATAGTTTTAGAAACCTAATCCGCTTGGGCCCGTTGAAGTTTGGGAGTGTGACCATGAAGATTGTTTCAAAGTTTCATCTACTGTTACACACTTCTTCCAGTTAATTTCTCTAAATTTCCTGTTGTACTTCTGCATTGCGCACAGAGATTAATATCAGATTCCATTGAATGAATTGTCAATGTTGAAATGACAAAGACAAAAATGCGAGAGGTGACAGGACAAAGCAAAGGCGTGGTAGACTGGAAAAGGTGGGAGGTGTTGTTCAACTTCCTGATGGGTAAAAGTTGTTATTGCACCGGTGAGAAGAACAGCAGCCAAATGAAACTTCCATTTAGGCTTTACCATCATGCAGGAGGCTGCTGTCACACAACACCAGCACCCCCTGCTGGTCAAATCATGAAAAGAAGGGGTGAAGCTGTCCTCTGCAGTTAAAGGTCTGCAGTGTAAGATTTAGGTGAAAGGGAACTATTGGCACAAGCTGAATATAAAATAATCTTAGTGATGTTTTTACTAGTGTGTTTTATCTTAGTTGTATGCATTGTTGTTTTCTTTACCCTGGAATGAACCCTGTATATAAATACTTTATATTTGGGAGCGGCTCCTCTCTACGGAGGCTGCCATGTTTTTTTTCAATAGCCCAGACTTGACAAACTAAACTAACTAAACCTTTTGGGTTTTTATAAAAACTAAAGGTTGCCACAGGTTGTCTTTCATGTTTGGAAGGGGAGGGTGAGGTACGGGGGTTCAGGTGCAACATGCAAATTCACCTCCAGATGTCACTAAATTCTACACATTGAACCTTGAACACTAAAAATCTTTTTTGTTTACTTTGTGTTTGTTTCAGGAGAAACAACCCGTCAGTAATAGTCCATTCAGGCACAAAGCATCCTCTCCCAGCTGACTCTCCCGACACGCTGAAAAAGCGACGAATTCACCTCTGTGACTTCAGCGGCTGCAACAAAGTGTACACCAAGAGCTCCCACCTCAAAGCGCACCGCAGGACACACACCGGTGAGACACTGGAGAAATCCTCTCTAATGCTCTTTTACAAAACTTATAGAGACTGTTAAAAGTGAATTTGCTCTTTTCGCTCTTGCTAATGTTTGCTAGTTGTGGGAACTGTTGGGCTTCTCTGTAATTTTGTATGTTCTTGACCTTACTATGTAAAATGCCTTGACATAATGTATGTTGTGATTTGTTGCAATACAAATAAAATACAATTTATTTTTGTCCGTGTAGGTGAGAAACCCTACAAGTGCATGTGGGAGGGCTGCACGTGGAAGTTCGCCCGCTCAGATGAGCTGACGAGACACTTCCGGAAGCACACGGGAGTCAAACCGTTCCAGTGTCCCGACTGCGAACGCAGCTTCTCCCGCTCTGACCACCTGGCACTGCACAAGAAACGCCACCTCCTGGTGTGAAACAGCTCCCGCGGGAAACTTGAAAAGAAACTCACTCAGTGCTGGTTTCATTGTCGGACTGTACCACTTTGACTTGAGTTATTTTGTTTTCTTTTAAAGGAGCTGGCCTTAATCATTGGACTATGACGGGAAGGGGTAAATGTTCCTCAGGGTGCACGTTTAGACCCTTTCTCCTCATTAGCCTGTATCATGAGCTGGTGTCAACCATCGCATTCATTATAAAAGAAATGTGGAAATGAAACACTTTTCGAGAAATAGGCTGCAACATCTCAGCGGGCCTGAGAACAGCACCCTCTGGTGGCCAAAACTGCATCGACACCACAAAGCATGCTCAAGCTTTTCTTTTTGCTCTCGTTTCTGTGCGTGCACTCAAGTAAAGATTGTGGACAAACACACACACACTTGCTAGCTAGGCCAAAATAATGTGAATCTTCGCAGAATGTATTATATCACACTTACTGTGCGTTGTGTCATACATACTTCAGCTTACTTCCATCAGCGTAGCTACCCGTGACATAATGCTAACGCTAACTCCACACACAACTCATCTGCCTGAACCAGCTTCCATCATGAAGTGTATAAAAAAACAATAAACAGGTAGCTAATGCTCGCTTCCCCTTTGTACATACACACAATGCACACGTTAAATGACACACAGCGGAATACATGCACTTATTAAAAGCAGCTCGGTCTTGCTCGTGCTCTTGGTAATTGGGTTGGACAGAAAACGGGGACTCTGGGTCTCATTCATTTTCAGAGTGAAGTGTTTTTTATGTTTTCATTCAGAAATGTGAACGTAGCTGCACAGGGGGCATTATCGTATTAGCGGGGAAAAGACATTGTTCTGTTGGTTAAAGGGTAGAAGCAATGAAATGTCTTACCGATGTTTTATATCAAAGTTTATGTATCGGTGAACTGTCGTTTGGTTTATGTTGTGACACCGTGGTAGCCTTTTTTATTCTATGACACTTTTATATGGGATAACAATACAAATTGCAAAGCAGGGAAATTTATTCATCACTTTTTTAGTTTTTCAGGAGCAAATGTTTAATTCCAACACACCTCAGAGGAGGATCTGTTGTAAAAGAAAATGCCATTTGATTCCATGGAGCTCGACAATACACTCATATGATTCCAATCCAAGGTTGCAAAAGTTTCTACAACACCATCAAACTTCTTTTGTAAAATGCCACCCCCACTTTAGAGCATCACTTATTTTACTTCCAGAGAACAAAGCAACGTTTTTTGTGTATAGCATATTTGTACATCTCTAAAGTGCACTTTATATATATATGCATAAATACAACCACGTGATGTTTAAAACATTCCCAAAACCAAACATTTTTTAATTTCTTTAATCAAAGAAATCTGCAGGTCAGTTTGATCACAGGTGTCGTGTAATATTAGAAGGAGGTATGATCCTTTCTCTTATTTACACAAACACACACACACATCGAATGTATGCACTCAGCTATCTGCATTTGCTCCTGGATACATTGCGCAGTTTTTGCTTGTATATGTTATTTTAACTCTGCAAATATAAGTTGTAATATCTATATATCTATATATATCTGCATGTATATATATGTACGTATACATATATATACATGTTACAAATGATCATTAGACTGAAAGGGCAATTAAAGGTTTTTATTAAGCATGATTTTGATACTCTCATCATAATGGATATTATACGTGTCTATAATGTTGTGTCTATAATAAAGCCTATTTTCTTTTTAATCTAAACGTTGGCTATTCAAAGGGAACATGTTAAACTGTGAACATATATCTGTACAGGTCTATCTGCAAGTTTGCATTTATTTTAAAACAAAATATTCATACCACTTAATAAACCTATTGACATTATTTGTACATTTCAGAACTGTGTGTTAAATTATGTGTGTATGTGGTTGGGCTGTTACCAATTTGTGAGCAAATTAGCTGGTTGGCATATAAATCATTCACGAATACAATATTTTGACAGTTTTTTCAATCATTGAAGTCAGTTTTATAAGATTATAAATCTTTACTTTTTTGAGTGTTGCTTTGTAGCTTTGACTCCAGCTTCAACTTCAGTTTACTTGTGGTGAAATATCATCTATGTTGAGGCCATGTGCTGAGCTACCAGAGCTAATAATACAATAAAAGTTAATAAGCTCACTTACTGTGATGAAGTCTTACGGACACATAGATTTAAACATATGAGTGTTGGAATGTAATTAAGTCCATTTACTTAACGTAATGTACTTCAGCAAAGTTATAATGCACTGGTTTATTTATTTCAATTTTATTCTTCTTCCTCCGTTCATTTAAAAAAAACATTTTGTTTTAGTTATTTTCTGACTTTACATGTAAACAAATAATCTATAAATAAACCGAAACGTGCATTGGCACATTCAGCCAGAACATTTATCATCATCCTCACGTTTGAGTTGAGGATGCTTGATGTTAGCATCATGTGCAGTGGAGGATCACTGTTATATTAATTTCCGGATTATCCCAAAAAATAAACTGCTTGTTTACAGAACCAATAAAGAGAGGGCTCGTCCGGGATTTGAACCCGGGACCTCTCGCACCCTAAGCGAGAATCATACCCCTAGACCAACGAGCCGATGTGCCTCAATGGAAAATATCCGTAAGAAATCTTTAGATACGAAGACGACAACTCATGTGTTTGTTAAGTTAGTACTGAGACCGAATGTTTTCACGCTTTTCAGCGCGAGACGCCTGGAACAAAGTTCTCAACTCCAACAGTCTCAGTGTGTGAGTCCACGCGGAGTGAGATGATTCCCGGCTGCTCACTTCCGTTTTCATCATCATCATCGACGTCCCAACAAAATCAACGTATGTACAAAGAGTTCAAACAAATAAACCTCCAGTGGCAGAGGATCGTGGTGAAAACCTGATCTCACCTGAACCTGAACCTAAAATAGTTATTATTGTTGTTTAGGTTACTACTACTACCGTTATTATGTATTTATTTTTAGTACTAGTAGTAGTAGAAGTATTTATATCATAGTGTTGTTGTTGTTGGGCCATTCTGTATAAGAAGTCCTTTTACCTTTGCTAATTTACTTTAGTTTTTTTACTAAACCCTACTCTTGTAATCATTTCTGTTATTCTGCACCGTGTTACTTCGAAACACACGATCTCACTTTATTCGTACTGCACCTTTCGTACAAGAAATGCAGCCCAAAGTGCTGTATGCGTACGATATGAAAATAAAAACGTGTTAAAATGTAAATCTTGGCAGATAGATAGACAGACAGACAGACAGACAGACGGATAGATAGATAGATAGATAGATAGATAGATAGATAGATAGATAGATAGAAAGAGAGAGAGAGAGAGAGAGAGAGAGAGAAATAGGATCCAGCACATAGGCGAGTCGTGGCTCCTGGGGCAGGGAGTCCTCTTGTCGGTCGTGTGCTCTTCGGCGCGGTCGCACAGCGGCCTGCCGACGTGGCGGCGGAAGAAGATCAGCTGTGCGGCATCGAACTGGTGAGCTGCACCTTCACTTTCATACAAACTAACATCAGACTTCACTGGTTTACTGCTTTTACTTCTACTGCAGCAGCGGGGACACACGAGTCTGCAGCCGAGCTCCAGATCGAGTTTCCACGAACTCGCTGCAGTGACGAACACGTTGTTTGTGTTTGTGTCACAGTGACAACACAGACCTGCGGAGAATAGTCTGATTGTCGCATGGCTCAGAAAAAGAACAGAGGTCTTTGTCGATGTGTTGTGGACGTTGTTCCTCGTGTTGTTGTGTTGTGACTCTTTGTGTAAATGCTGTTAAAAGAGGCTGAGGAGGCTTTGATACAACGTGGATGTTGATGACAAACACATGACATTATTCATTTTAAAGGTTTTTACGACACAGACGTGTTGATCAGCACACACCAACCATCATGTCAGTTAATGCATTACATTTAGTCTAAGTGTCATTGTTGTTGATCCAGATCCTAAGAAAATGTCACATTTGACTTATTTGAACTTTTTCTCCATGTTGTCTCCTTTTATGGACAATTGTTTATTTGTATTGTTGTAATCACGTTTTTCTACCATCTCATTTAGAAATACAATTAGTTTGAGATAAACAAATCAACAGTGACAGAAAACAGGAGGATGACAGTTGTCATAGGAAAACTTGCACAGCAAATGGCCGCTAGATGGCGATATTTAACGTGAATGATAACCCCTAGTATTTGTATTATTTATATTTTATTATAGTTTCCACATCTCATTCAATATCTAAAGCTTCTAACGCATTTCTTTTCATTTTTGTCTCATTAATCTCACATAATATGCAACATTTATGAAAGGAAATGCATCATGCATCAACTTTATCAGAGCGTCACAGTGTTGAACATGTTAAACAGTGAATTTGAATCATGTTTGCATTTTAAAATAACACAGTCAAGCTTAAATAATGCGATTGTAGTTTACTCTTTCTGTTCTATACACAGAGTAAAGATTAACATGAGAGCCAAAGTTTTATGATAATGACAGAAGGAATAAAACTGCAAAAAAACAAACAAACAGACACTAAACATTTCCACATTATGACAGTAAAATAACAAAACAAATATATATTGTGGTGGGTTGACGTAGAAGACAGTTGTGTTGCAGTGGTGGTCACCTGAGTGTGCTAAGGGCACACACATGCTGAACTGACTGTATCCGTTCTTTGTGCTGATTTGAAGTGTCTGCAGTCTAAAGCATGTGATTCAGTGTTTTGCAGTTTTTATTTACAGACAGCCGTTGTGTCATTGTTTTTAAAAGTTCTGCACGATTTATTAAGAGCTAAAAGTCTGTTGATTTATCAAATAATTGAGAGTAAAATGATCAAACGTTTTTATTCCAGCGTCTCCAGTGAGTTTTTTGTTTGTTTTATATCATTGTGTCCTGAAAATCTGGATTTTGTGATAGCCAGACGAAACAAGGCAACTGAGGACCTCACATTAGACTCAGGAAAATTATGAAAGACATTTTTAACATTTTCTGACAAATCAGCAGATGCACAATGAAGGTTATAAAAAACATTGTAATGCAGTTGGTAATCATCATCCTTGTAAACATAAGTCACATTTATAAATTTAAAACATCTACTTGCACTTTAAAGTTATATACATATTTATATTTATGTTATGTTAGAAACGCAGTATGTGTTGAGCAGCACTTTCTCAACTCAAACCACAAAAACCAAACATTTCTCCTCTTCCAGATCACCATGTCCCAGGCTGCCCCCTCTGACTTGGACCCCTCAGCAGACACTACCGGACCTCCTGTCCAACCCCCCCTCGCCCAACCAGACTCCTGTCAGGATGTCCCAGCGGCCCTCACACCACCCTCGGCCCCCCCGCAGCCTCCCGAGAGTATCAACCTCCCACAGTCCTCTGAGGAGACGACCACGGAGGATGCTGCCTCCAGGCCCGACTCTTCAGAGGGTCTGACTGACCAGCCAGCAGAGTGTGCCTCTGAGGGTCAGCTGATCGAATGTGATCAACCAGTGAGCCTGGAGCCAGAGTCGGAGGCTGCAGAGGGGGATGTGGAGGTAGGTAGCACCAGTTGCTCCACTTCTTCTGTTCATATTTGTTTATTTCCTTTAATTTCACTGTAATTGTGAACTATTTTGATTATTCTTTGTCTCATGCGATAATAAGAGATTAATATGGTCAGTGATGGGACTGTGGATTTAATTGATCAGACAATATTGACCTTATTGATCACTGGGCCCTTGATTACTGGGTCAATATGAACAATCTTGGTATCTATATAAAGTTAACACTTGAGAGGTGTAAGCAGAGGTGTAAGCATCAGTATAGATGTTATTGGGTCGGGGTAAATGACGAGGTAAAGATTTCATGTGTGTATACAAAAGTATGTGAGAGTAAGATGAAACTATTCATATTCTGTACGAAAACCTCTCACAACCCACCGCACATCTGAACATCATCAGACGTATTCTAGTAAAGGGAAGCAGGGCAAAGTAATTGTAGAGATATATTCAGGCGTCATCTCTAAACGGCCATTTGGCACAATCTGTTTGTGACTTTAGGGAATTTTATTTATCATTTGTCTCTATTTTCTGTAACTAAATAGACAAAATGTTTTATCAGTGGAGAGAATAATATTTGCAGCCTTAATTTGCTTCAACGTTTGATGCTCGTAACTCCAGCACCTCTGCAGCGCCTCCTTGTTATTTTACATTGAATGCATATGGAGGAGTGTGCTTTGTGTGTTTGTGTGTGCAGAGGTCAATGCAGGACAAAGAGAAAGGCTGGGGAGGATGGGGTTCATGGGGAAAATCTCTTCTGAGCAGCGCCTCCTCCTCTGTGGGTAAGTCTCCTCTTCTTATTTCTACTTCTCCTTTTCATATCTACTGACACGTTCTTCTTTTCTCCTTTCTTTCTCGCAGAGGAAACTTTACACCTGCTCTCTGCCCTTCACTGTGAGTCTTTAAATGTGTGTGTCTGTGTGCAGGTCAGAGTCTGAGCTCAGTTAAGGTGAAGGCAGGAGAGGCCCTGCGTCTCCACAGGACCTCAGTGGGAGAGGAGGCGAGAGAGGAGGTGGAGGAGGGAGCAGAGGTGAAGAGAGAGGCAGGAGGAGAGAGTGTAGAGGCAGACTCGTCCACCTCTGTGGAGTCTTCTTCTCCGACTGCAGCTGCAGCTTCTAGCAGAGGGGTTTTCTCTACAATCACACATGCTGTGCAGAACACGGTGAGTGAACACACACACACACACACACACACACATCTGGAGACAAAAATCAAACACTCAGTAGATCACTTACCTCCACCAGACCCAACAATCCTCTTATGAAACCACCTTTAAATTCACCACATGTGGATTCTTACTATAATCTCCATGAAATTGCAAACACAAAAAAGCCTATTATCTCACACTATTAAAGAAAGTTTTCAAAATCACTTTGCCGTTCACTATATGCTATTGATTTCAACAGCTGTAACTTTCAATCTCTAATTTTTTCACTTGAAAAGATAGAAAATCTAATTATTAAAGACAATATTTGGAAAAATACTGATAATAAATCTACTTACTTTGTCAATTGTGTTTTAATGGCATGGCAGCCTTATTGTCTTTTTCTTGCATCATCCAGAAGATTCTTGTTAATTGAATTTGCTTTCATTGTAAATGGATGAATTCTGGTGATACGGTTTGTGTGCATGTCCTTTTATTTTTGTCTCTTTAAGGGGAAGTCGGTGATCAGTGGAGGTCTCGATGCTTTGGAGTTCATTGGGAAAAAGACGATGACTGTTCTCGCTGAGAGCGACCCAGGTTTCAAAAAGACCAAGACCCTGATGCAAAAAACTGTGTCACTGAGTCAGGTGCAGAGACATTCACACACACACAGCTCACATAGATTCTCATAAAACCATCAGATAAATCATTTCAAACATGTTTCATGTGTGTGTTTCCAATCTCTGTAGTTTCAGTGCTGCTGTGTTGTGTCACTGTTTTATTGTGATTGTTGCAGATGTTGAAGGAGGCCAAGGAGAAGGAGCGGGCACGTCTGGATTTCCTCCCAATCAGTGCTCCCACAGCTCACTATGGTATTCTGTTTGATGACTACCAGGGCCTGTCACACCTGGAGGCCCTGGAGATTTTGTCCAATGAGAGCGAGGGCAAGGTGAGGCTCGAGCCTGAGGAGCACAGAGTACTTAATGGAAAATGGTGTTTATAAAGTTACACACATCTGCTCTCAGGTTCAAGCGTTCCTGTCCTCCCTGGTGGAAGAGGAGCAGGACGAGGTGAAGAAGGAGCTGATCCTAATCAAAGATATTTTCATCAAACAAGAGGAAGACGAAGAGGAGGATGAAGAAGGAAAAGAAGGAGAACAGACGAAGGATAACGGTGATCTAAGTTCCCAATTACACTGTTCTACCCCCCTGTGTGAGTGACCCAGACCAAACAACCAGACCTGCTGGAGGTAGAGATGGTCCCTGAACACTGACCCAGGATCAGTGGGCCTCATTCTCATTTTCTGGTTGAACACCTGCAGAGTAACACATGGTCTGACACTGGACCAGAAGTTCAAATTAGAACTTTGGTTGAAATGTTCAGTCTTCAGTCAATTAATGAGAATAAAATTGAATGATGGTATGACCTTGTAAAACAGCTTAGTTAAAGGCCCTCTAACATATGAACAGGCAGCTCTCCATTTTGGAATACAAGCTCTATGTAAACTTTATTGTGTGACAGGGGCCTGAGGGGAAGTCACAGCAGTGCAGAGTTCAAGGCCGACAGCTCTCCTTTTACCTGGAGGCTTAAACACAGTGTCTGATCCAGTGTTGGTGTTCAGGGGCCAATGACACATTCACGTCACTGATGTAAAGAATAACCCAAATAATCTATGTGATGGGGACATGAAACCTGCATGTGTGCAGAACACATTGAGCTCTGATTGAGATGCAGCTTTTTGCATTGATTTAGCATGAACATCAGAATGAGAGGTTCTTCAAATCTCTGCTGTGCTGTTTGCTGCAGGCATAGAGAAATATCATCTTCATCAACTCAGCATGGGGGTAATCACAGCTTCACTGGCATGTGGATGAAAAGTGTTTTACACTTAATTTATTAATGGCTTTAACATATGTGTGTGTGTGTGTGTGTGTGTGTGTGTGTGTGTGTG